CTTCGGCTTCGGCTTCGGCTTCGGATTCGGATTTGGATTTGGATTTGGTCAAATGATCGATTGATTGATTAACTTTTTGGACCAAATTTATTTGTTCATAGTAAAATATTAACAGAAATGTTATTAAATATTTGTTTTAATAACAGAATATTACTATTAAATATTAATATTAAATCCAATCCATTTTTCTGTTTTGGTAACAGAAAAGTAACTACCCTCTTCAATTTTCCCTCTTTATTATTGAGTAAATGGCCATTTATGTAATGGCATTTATGCTGTGGGCGTTTTGCATAAACAGCCATTCTGAAGAGTTGCACCTCTTCAGATTTCAGCCCAACTTTTGCTATAAATACAACACTATTCTGCTCAGAATTTCACTACGATTTTCTGGGTTTTGTCTCCTTCTTCTGCATACTTTTAGCATCAAACAAAGTAAAAAGTAAGTGTGATTTGCTACCGGAATTTGTGTTCGCTGAAACACTGGGGTTTGAAGTACCACTATACCAGTGTGTAATTCGTTCTATCCTGGGAGGAAATAATCCATAACCTTGGGTACTAGGAGGGGATTAAATTCCTTAAGGAAACACTGTGAATTCAGTGGGCTCGAATTGGTTTTATGTTATTTCTGTTTATGTTCATTTCTATTTATATTCATTTATATTTCCAGAATTATTTTACAAATACAGTCTACTAACAAGCTTAAGGAATTTAATTTATTTTCTGTATTTGTACTTACTGTTTTTGGAAGAGTAAAACCTTTGTGGTTTTGTACTCTATTAAAATCTACGTGATTTTAACGTTTGTGTCATTCTTTTACAGAAATGACTAATGAGAATGAGAACCAAGCTGTTCCAATGGTGACTGCCAATGCCTCAACAAGCCGAACGACACCGGCAGCATTGTCACCGGCGGAAAAACCCGGAAAATTTTCCAGGATTGATTTCAAGCGCTGGCAGCAAAAGATGTTCTTCTATTTGACTACTCTAAGTCTCCAGAAGTTCATCAAGGAAGATGTTCCTGTGCTGTCCGATGAAACTCCAGAAACTGAACTCTTTCTCGTGATTGAGGCGTGGAAGCATTCAGATTTTTTGTGCAAGAATTATATTCTAAGTGGGCTGGAGGATGCTTTGTATAACGTCTATAGTGGCGTGGAAACGTCAAAGGAACTGTGGACTGCGCTTGAAAAGAAATACAAAATCGAAGATGCCGGGTTGAAAAAGTTTGTTGCTGCAAAGTTTTTGGACTACAAAATGGTAGATAGCAAGTCTGTTATTACCCAAGTCCAGGAATTGCAAGTGATTATTCACGATCTCCTTGCTGAAGGTATAAATCAAATTAATATTGATGNTTATCCAGATGCAATTAATCCTTCCGATCTAATCACACAGTTTTTCATGCATACTTCCGTGATATAGCCATTCCCCATTCATGTTGGGGATTGTTGGGTTTTGGATGTATTTAATTAATATATATTAAATACTTAAAAGATGGTGAATGGGAAATGGAGGGAAATGAAATTTTTGAGTGAAATTTTAAGTTTCCCCCTTGGCAAATGGGCATTGTCCCATATTGGAAGAGGAAGAGGTTTTTTATGGATATATAAGCAATTGCTCTTCTTCTAGCACTTAAAGAGTTGAGAAGAAGGCAAGCCTCGCGCCGTCGTCGTCGTCGCTCGCTCAGCTCGGATTCGGATTCGGATTTGGTCAAATGATCGATTGATTGATTAACTTTTTGGACCAAATTTATTTGTTAATGGTAAAATATTAACAGAAATGTTATTAAATATTTGTTTTAATAACAGAATATTACTATTAAATATTAATATTCCTCTTCAGTTTTCCCTCTTTATTTTCCCTCTTTATTATTGAGTAAATGGCCATTTATGTAATGGCATTTATGCTGTGGGCGTTTTGCATAAACAGCCATTCTGAAGAGTTGCACCTCTTCGGATTTCAGCCCAACTTTGGCTATAAATACAACACTATTCTGCTCAGAATTTCACTACGATTTTCTGCGTTTTCTCTCCTTCTTCTGCATACTTTTAGCATCAAAAAGTAAAAAGTAAGTGTGGTTTGCTACCGAACTTTGTGTTCGCTGAAACACTGAGGTTTGAAGTACCACTACACCAGTGTGTAATTCGTTCTAACCTGGGAGGAAATAATCCATAACCTTGGGTACTAGGAGGGGATTAAACTCCTTAAGGAAACACTGTGAATTCAGTGGGCTCGAATTGGTTTTATGTCATTTCTGTTTATGTTCATTTCTGTTTATATTCATTTATATTTCCAGAATTATTTTACAACTACAGTCTACTAACAACCTTTTCTTCATCTAACGAGCAACAATACAACTTTTATTTATAGCTTAAATTACCAACAATGAAGTGATAGCTGAATCTTCACCTACCAGATGGAAATTCTTTACAAAAATAAGACAGATTCTTAGTCCTGTTTCCATTGTTCGCTGTGACGACGATATATAACTGCCTGCTTAAAGTTTCTCCATTCCCAGGGAATGGTAGAGGAGTACAAGGTAAATAACAAGAAATGATATGTTGCTGCCAGAGAAGCAGATAACCCTACTGCAGACCATGAGCCTTTAACGTGTAAGTAGAAAACATTGCACGTTGCATACTGTAGTTGAACAATAATTTTACTGGATGGCCCAGACTGAAATCCACATTTGACAATGAACAAATGCTTCCTCATTCCGTATACTCCCCCACTTCTATCCTTCAAATAGACGTTAAGTTAAAACTGAAACCACTCCACGTGCCAAAGTCATACTGCCTTGAACGGAATACTATAGCATTGTGTATCTCAAAAAGAACAATTTTATTATACTGAAACGTTTATCAATTGAACTAAAAAGGAAACTTAACAGAAAAGAAATTTGGCTGACCCACTGACATGAAACAAAAGAGTATGAGCGGAGTCAATTTTACACTACATATAACAAATTCAGCTCATGTAATACGTCCTTATGCGTTAAGACCTATCTTTCGGAAAAATAATCCATGATACAGTGGCCGAAATTGGTCACCGTGCCAAACTGAAATTTCTAGAAGTGTGTTGTGAGATTTTATAAACAATAAAAGATTGTTAGACATGCATTACTTTAGGAATCTCGAGATTGTTTCTAGTTTTGACAAGAGCCAATCCTAGCACCTATGAAACAATTACCAAAATCAGTGTCCTATATGTAATAGCCCAGATATTTTTATATATAGTTATTCGTTACGAGATTAGGAATATTTTTATATATTGTTATTCGTTACGAGATTAGGAAATTAAATTTAGTTTGTAAAACTATTGGGTCAAATGGCAAGCTAGTGGAATAGAATTTACTATGATACATTATAAGATAGTGTATTAAACCAGTAGCTTGTATGCCTATTGCAGATTATAAATTGAGAATTTAAAACTAAGTAACTTTGGTTAATATTTTTCTTATTTATAAGATGAGAAATGGGCCAAGCCCACCACTAATTAGTTGGTCACGTGAGTTGACCTAGATGTAGAGATTATTATTGGTGTCCTTATTTAGTAGGGAAAAGAATTCACGGAGTGGGATTTTGGGAATGTTGACGGCGTAACATTTTAGCAGTCTCTCTATTCGGACAATGGAGGACGCATCTTTACCAAGAGAATACATGTAAGTTCCCACATGCTAAGAAACAAAAAGAAAAATCAGAAAGTTTTTTATGTAAGTTTAACTCCAAAAGCTTGATAATAAAGAGTAATAGAAAAAGATCATTCATTGATAGTGTCACACCTCCTTTTTACACATCACTCGCCGAGGGCGGTATACAAGGGAGTTTTTCCAATTAAAGTGACATTATTCGAGATGAAATTATTTAGTTTATCAGAGTCGCCACTTGGAATAAATTATGGTGTTCCAAGTCACCAGTTTATTTTAAATCCCAAATCGAGGAAGTTTTATTTTTTAAAGAGTTTGCGAACCAGAAATTCTAGGTAAGGAATTCTGTTAACCCGGGAGAAGGTGTTAGGCATTCCGGGGTTCCGTGGTACTAGCACGGTCGCTTACTGATTATTACTTGGCTTAAATTGTTTAACTACTCATTTTTAGGACCTATGTTCATTTACCTTTTTACCGCTTTTAAATCACTTGAATTATTCGTAATTAAAGAATTGAGTTACGCGTACGTATACTCTTTTATTTTGGCGTGTCAAAATCATGTCACGCGAACTTGTCCACAATTAATAACGCTTTATTATTATTAACGAAGTTTAGCCGAAATTGCGCGAACGCATACATTTATTTTGAAAAATCATAACTATGTCACGCGAACGTGTACACAATCACGATAATTGATTAGGAGCTTGAGGAAACGAATAGAGTCATTCCAACAAAATCACAATAAAGTTAACGTCAAAACAAAGACTAACATGTGATAAATTCTCTATGAAAACTTGCAATCATCAATTTAGTAGTTTGTTCATCTACGACTAACATACTACATAAGTCGAATTAACTATTCAAACTTCACTATCAATCAAACGAAAGGCCCTTAATTTCAGAGGTTCAAAGAAACAGTTCTACACAAGAATTCAAAAATCCACTTAACTATTCGAATTGTATAACTTGATAATAATTTTCTTTAACAAACACTACTAGAAATTGGAGCTATGGCAACGCATTTTATTGCCACGGTTCTGTAGCCGTTGCTATAGATGGTCTGTTGCAACGGTTTCAACCGTTGCGTAAGGTAATGGGTACTATCGGCACAGTTTAGCACCTAAACCGTTGCATTAGTCTAAAAACCGTTACAGTAGATTTTCTATGGCAACGTTTTTGTAAAACCGTAGCAATAAGTTTATCTGTGGTAACGGGTATTTGTAATTTTAATGTAAGACAAACGGTTAGAAATTCCCTCTCTAATTTCTCCAAATTTTGGACGGACCGCTAAAAAGACCCGCTTCTATTATATTTTACATTTAATATTTAATAAAATAATAAAACCTAATAATACACACGGAGCTTACGAGGAAGCTAAGCACACAAACGCTATCTTCAAAAGTTCCAATCTCTCTCCCCCAAAAAGCCTTCATCAGTTCGCCGGAGATTACGATGAAGTCAAACCACCATCGACGACATCGGTAAGCTATATTTTTCATTACTATTCCAACTCTATTCTACCATTTTTGTTTATTTAATTTAAGATCTCAGTCATGCCTTCTGTTTTTCACTCTGCCTGCGCGCCGCTTGGTCTTATGTATTCCATTTCTAGGGTTTCATAGAAAATGAAGTTAGAGTTCTATATTTGTCGAAAGATCACTTCTTTTGTCTCAATAAGAAAATGGCGATTATTGTTTCTTGAATGCTAATGTTTTTATTGTTTGTGAGAGCATCGCCCGTCTTCACTAAGCTCGGCGAGTCAGTGTAGAAGCAAAGAGAAGCAGAGAGCGACGGCGGTATGGGAATGTCGGTTCAGGTGACGCCACTCTGTGGAGTATACAACGGGAACCCTCTCTCTTACCTCGTCTCTATCGACGGTTTCAATTTCCTCATCGATTGTGGTTGGAATGACCAATTTGATACTTCTCTTCTTCAGCCCCTTTCCAGGTCAACAAACAACTCAATTTCACTTCAATGCATATAATATTCCTATTTCTCAAAGCAAAACAAATATTACAATGTAGCATTTAACAACAGATAGCTAACTATCGTATGAAATTTCTTTATCTATTTACTGTCTTTTGAATTTCTCTGCTGAGTAATATATTGTTAATATACAGGGTGGCTTCAAGTGTGGATGCTGTATTGGTATCACACCCTGATACATTTCATCTTGGTGCTTTGCCCTGTGCTATGAGACAACTTGGTCTTTCCGCTCCTATTTATGCTACAGAACTAGGTACAGGCTAGGGTTACTAACTATGTATGATCAGTATCTCTCACGGAAGGTGAACCTTTTACTCTAGCGTTATCCATGAATTATCAAATGCACTTGTCTATTTTAGTTGATAAGCTTTATAATCAAGCATTTCACATGTATATTAAGTTGTTGTCCTTAACATTGATGTCGTGTTTTAATTTTTTTTTTGCTTTGCAATGAATTACGTTGAGCTATAGATTCCAATGTGCTTATTGATTTATGTACTCCCTAAGGGAGAGAGTTTATCTGAGGCAATACACAAGTTTACTAGCCAGAGTTTGAGGCTTCTGTTTGTATGTTTCAAACTGTCTTCATTAGAAAAGGAAAATAAAACTTTCGACTGTTACAACATGTATTATAGGGATCATTATCTCTATAATCCTTCCGTATTTTGTTGACAAACGGATTAATTAGGTCTTGGTCTCCTTAATTATTTGCATAGTAAACGTCGAATGCAGACTACTGATTCAGTTATTGCTCCACTGGTAGCTGGTCATCTGTTGGGAAGTACTACATGGAAGATAACAAAAGATGGGGAGGATGTCATATACGCTGTTGACTTCAATCACCGTAAAGAAAGGTAAACTTAGAACAGTCTTATTATCCGTCTAAATTGGATTCTACTCAACTTGATCCTAATATTATAATTACACTTTTCTCCCTTTCAAACATCTGAATGGAACTGTTTTAGAGTCTTTTGTCCGTCCAGCTGTTCTAATAACGGATGTCTTTAATGCTTTAAACAATCAACCCTCTAGGAGCCAAAGGGACCAAGAGTTTCTAGGTAATTGTTGTTCCTTTTTATTGTGAAGAACTTTTTGGATCTCATAATGGCTTGTCATAAGGACTTTGTTGGTTTAGGCCTTTAGGGGAAGTCACAGATACGCACAATACATTTTATAAAATTTTAGTTATTAACTTGAACATCCAGAGGACTTCCGGATTGTCATTTGGTCTTCCCTTATCCTCATACATCAATATCGTTGCAGAGGGAGTTTGAGGATATCAGAAACCATTTCCAAAATCACGAACATGCTCGGTTGGTATTAAAGTATGATGAGGCTCTTTCCCATTTGATTTATGCAGCATCTGACATGCTTATCATCCCATCCATCTTTGAGCCTTGCGGCCTTACTCAGGTCATTCCATAATTGCTTGAACACTTTCTAGTAAATGAAGAACCTTTTTAAATAACGCAGTATTTTTTTGGCTCTAATGATTGAATCCGAATTCTATTTTTGCAGATGATAGAGATGAGATATGGGTCTATACCAATTGCTAGGAAAACAGGGGGCTTGAATGATAGGTTCGTCAACGCGACACAGCAGGACTTCTTTATTAATCAGAGTTCATGGTTATTTTTTAAGATCTCTCTTTTTAATGTTCTGGAGTAATTGTCTTTGATGAAGTAACCTAATAAATGATGATTACAGACATATACTGGGAATATATTAATCGCTGTCAATCCTTTTAGAAGGCTACCTCACTTATATGATACACATATGATGGCCCAATATAAAGGTGCAGCTGGTGGAGTAGATCAAGAAATAGAAGATGAAGGCAATGAAGATCCAGACCTTACTTAAGATGAATTTTGAATTGCTATAGATGAATGTTCTAGGAATCTTTTGTTGTCAACATTTTGAAACTTACTATCTTGAAATGTATTAAACTTATGCACTTGGGGTAGAACATTTACTTTTATGGATATTATTAGCTTGTTGGACGAGTTATATTATTAATAGTTTCATTTTGTGATTTATTTAAATTTTAGTGTTATTATAATTTATAACACTAAATGAGCTGTATATATATATAGGAGCTATATTTCTGTTTTAAATGAACTGTTACAATAGCCTACCAGAACCATTGCAATAGGACACAAATGGCGTTCCATTAGAATGTAAACCGTTGCAATAGATCCGGTAAACTGTTCCAAAATGCCCTCTAAACCGTTCCAATAGGTATTTAAAACCGTAGCAATACAAAAACAACCGTTACAAAATTCATAAATAACCGTAACAATAGCTTATGAAAGTGTTTCTTTAGATAATATGGTAACGGTTATGAGCCGTTGCATACGCATTATAGTAACGATTTTAAAGCGTCCCAATTGGAAGGAATAATCGTTCCAATAGAGAAAGGGAAAACCGTTGCGATAGGCGTCTCTATAGCAACGGAGATGAAAACCGTTCCAATAGCTCTATTGGCACGCGAGCAGATGTGACTGTCTGTAAACCGTTCCAATATCGCTACGGCAAAGGTTTATGTACCTACTGGAATGGTTTTCCATGCGTTACCGTAGACCAATTTTTCAGCAGTGAAACCAACTTCAACCAAAGAAATTCCACTCTTCAATGACTACCACAGTAACCCAAATGTACAAAAATTCAGTCCAAATTTCAAACTTTACTTTCTTTATTTGTTAATTTACTCTATTAGTCTAACTAATCACTTCACAATACAAAACAAAGATAATTCATTAAATTATTTAGTAGACTAATTACAATAAAATCAAATGAACTAAAAACATGGAAGGCATTTATGAAAGATTGAGTAAGGAAGCAAACAAACTTACGTATAATCTGCAATGTGAACACTAACAGAAATGTATCTACTCATGTTATTGAATACATAACAGAAGTGTATCAAAGTTGCGTACAATCTGCAGCTACACCCACTTAGCATTCATAACATTGTAAAAGAACCAAAACAAAAGGAAAGAGGTATTCTCACCACCAAAATGGAAACCTCGAACTAGACCAGAAATCCCGCCGGAACCGCGACAAGACTCCACAACGGGCCTCATCGGCACCTCGGATTTGCTCGGTTTCTTTTGGGTTGAGAAAAGGGATGTTTCTGGGCTGTTTTGGACCTGATTTTGGAGCTTTAAGCAGCGTCCATGGTTGTTGTAGCTGTGGTCGAAGAAGAAGAAGAAGCAGTGGCCATGGGATCTTTTTATGCTGAAGAAGATGATGGCTTGGGGGGGGGGGGGGGGGGATCTGACGTTGTGCAGCTCCAAATTTGAAGAACGAGCAGGGGTCCCTTTCTTGGTTTTTTGCTGAATTTGGCGCAGCTTTTTGTCAGGCTCTTTGTTTGCAGCTGATTGTTGACTTTTAGGGTGTAAACGGCGCTCAAAAGCTGATGGTAGGGATCTGATAGGTTTTTTAGGTGTAGATCTATATTTAGGTGTTAGGTACTATTATATAGGGGTAGGAATTAGGGGAGAAATTCAAAAATAGCCAGATTTATCACTGGTCGTTGAAAAATAGCCAAGTTTCAAAAGTCATCGAAATTTAGCCACTTTAAATCTGAGCGAAAACACTGTTCAAAATCCGGAAAAATACGCCCGCTAATTTTACGGGAGTTCCAGCATAAGTATGCTTGAACTCCCGTAAATTTTACGGGAGTTCCAGGATAACTATGCTGGAACTCCCGCAAATTTTACGGGAGTTCAAGCATAATTATGCTGGAACTCCCGCAAATTTTACGGGAGTTCCAGCAAGTATAATTGTCCAGTATAATATACTGGAGTTTGGAGCACTGGTGCTCCAGTCTCCCGCAATTTTTACAGGAGTTAGCAAAGTATACCGGTCCAGCATAATATGCTGGAGTTCGTACACAAATGCACCAGAACTCCCGTATATTATACTGGACCGGTCCCTGTTGCAGCAAAATAGTGGCTATTTTTCATTGACTTGATAAACGCTGGCTATTTTTCATTGACCAGTGTGAAAACTGGCTATACCATGATATTTTATCAGGAATTAGGTTAGGGGTATGAGCCTAGGAATTATGGGCTTGGTAATTATGGACTAGGTCCAAAATTAGGCCTAAAAATGGGTTTCTCGAGCCCAATTTTTATTCTTTCTCCGCGAACGGGACTAAAATACGACCTTATTTATTAGTTAGTCTTACTTAAATAAAATAACTGTTAAAATAAGACTGACCATTAAAACAAAACTATTTTTGGTATTTTTCAAGATTAAAAATAACTACAAAACATTAATAAAACTATTTTTTATAATTTTTATTTTCTTGCAATAATATAAAGTAAAAGAGTCAAAATTAATTAAAATAACTATATTAGGCCTAAACTAAATATTTAGGCTAAAATGTGAAAAATTTTGGGGAGGGTCAAAAATTACATGTCTACAGCTGCGCCTCTTTGACTGGAAACGCGAAGAGTTTTCAGGCAAAGAACGACGAGATAGGTTTTTTGACCCGACCCTTATTTAGAGAGACCAAAAACTAAGAGAAAGGAGAATGTGACCGAGCCCTGGTATCTGAGCTGCGTACATATCCTTGGGTATAAAGGAATCAGGCCACGTGTAGTTCAGAAGTGAATGAGGTGATGGAGTACCAAGGTTGAGAGCCGAGCGAGGTGCCGTCGAGGTTCCGATCCGCGGTCCCGTTATTACATCAAAATCAAAAATGAAAAAGACTAACTAAGCCTATCAGCTACAAGTTACAAGATTCCTATCTATAAATCCTTTGAAGCTTGATCTTGAGTCTTGGCTAGTTCTTGCTGCAGACTCCGATCTGAATCTTGATGCTCGTCAGCTGTAGGTGCTGGTTCTTTCTTCAGCTTTGGGTCAAGGCGAGACAATGCGAAGCCTGTGATTTCAATCATATCTTGGGCAGTCCGCGTCTTTCTCCGTTTCAGCATTCTGAGTTCACTTCTTTTTGTTTTTTTTTCTTTTCTTTACTCTGGATTGATACTCATTCTTTTGGTCATATCGAATCCTGCGACTCGAGGTCGGACCTGCTCAGACACCAAAACAAACAAACGAACGAAATTTTTCTGCCCCAATTTTCACTAGGAAAATTTCGTGAGTTATTTGTAACTAAGATCCAAACCTTCTTTTTTTTTTTTTTGAAAGTGATAAAATAAGGATTGTGTGTCTTTAGGAGGAAAGATTAGGGAGTGGAGCCCTATATCTAAAATTCTCAACTAGGGAATGGAGGCACTATGTTGGCAAAAAAGGCGACTAGGGAAAGGAGGCCCTATGTCTAAAAATTCTCAACAAGGGAATGGAGCCCTATGTTGGCAAAAGGCGACTAGGGAATGGAGGCCCTATGTATAAAAATCTCAACTCAGGGATTGGAGCCTTAATGTTGGCAAAAAGGCGACTAGGGAATGGAGGCCCTATGTCTAAAATCTCAACCTAGGGATTGGAGCCCTAATTTTGGCAAAAGGCGACTAGGGAATGGAAGCCCTATGTCTAAAAATCTCAACTCAGGGATATGTTGGCAAAAAGGCGACTAGGGAATGGAGGCCCTATGTCTAAAAATCTCAACTCAGGGATTGGAGCCCTAATGTTGGCAAAAAAGGCGACTAGGGAATGGAGGCCCTATGTCTAAAAATCTCAACTCAGGGATTGGAGCCCTAATGTTGGCAAAAAAGGTGACTTGGGAATGGAGGCCCTATGTCTAAAAATCTCAACTCAGGTATTGGAGCCCTAATGTTGGCAAAAAGGCGACTAGGAATGGAGGCCCTATGTCTAAAAATCTCAACTCAGGGATTGGAGCCCTAATGTTGGCAAAAAAGGCGACTAGGGAATGGTGGTCCTATGTCTAAAAATCTCAACTCAGGGATTGGAGCCCTAATGTTGGCAAAAAGGCGACTAGGGAATGGAGGCCCTATGTCTAAAATCTCAACTCAGGGATTGGAGCCCTAATGTTGGCAAAAAGGCGACTAGGGAATGGAGGCCCTATGTCTAAAAATCTCAACTCAGGGATTGGAGCCCTAATGTTGGCAAAAAGGCGACTAGGGAATGGAGGCCCTATGTCTAAAGTCTCAACTCAGGGATTGGAGCCCTAATGTTGGCAAAAAGGCGACTAGGGAATGGAGGCCCTATGTCTAAAAATCTCAACTCAGGGATTGGAGCCCTAATGTTGGTAAAAAATCGACTAGGGAATGGAGGCCCTATATCTAAAAATCTCAACTTAGGGATTGGAGCCCTAATGTTGGAAAAGCATAAAAGTAGATATTGGGGTCCTAAACTACCATTTTTTTTTAATTTTCTTCTTATCTTTTTTTTTTTTCATTTCAATTTCCTTTCTCTTTTTTTTTTGTTTCATTTCAAGGAATGAGTAAATGCGGGAAAAACTTGGAGGGGACTTCCCTTTTTATGGGTTGTTGCTGCCAAGCTGTTTTTAGCACTCGCGTATTTCTTTTTCCCTTTTGGTTGAACCTGCTTCTTGCATGGTTGCTTTGGATTGCACCTGTTTCAAATTTTCAAACAAAGAACAATTGTTAGTTTAGAACGGTGGTTGGTTTTGTGGCCTTGATTGTCTCAATCGCTTAATCTCGGCCCAGCTTCTTTGATGAAGATCTCAGTTGCAACTGCTTGTTTTCTGGGGACCAATTTCATTTCAGGCCCTAAGAACTTCTGGTTTTTTTCCATATTTTGCCATGACGGTTGGTTGGTGGAACTCAACCTTTTCGACTTTATTTTGCCTTCGTAGGCATTTCCTTTCTGACTTCCTTTTCTTTTTTTTTCTCTCTTTTTTTTTTCTTCTTTCTTTTTTTTCATTTTTTTTCTTTTCCTTTCTTCAGAACATTGGGGAACTTTTGGCTCCTCAAACTTTGCTGCAACGGCTAGTCGCGTGGGACTTAACCTCTTCCAACTTTATTTCGCCTTTGTAGGCCTTTCTTTTCTGGCTTCTTTCTTCCAACTTTAATTTCAGAGCATTTGGTGTACCTTGGCTTCTTCAACTTTTGCTGAGGCGGTTAGCCACGTGGGACTCAACCTTTTCAACTTC